ATTGGTTGGTACTAGTCCGGTTGAGCCCTATTGCATTAGTAATTACTTTGTTAAACGTCGTGTATAAAGTGAGTTGTTGTGGTTAATGATGCAAACATCATCCAAATAAATAGTGGTGATGGAGGGAGGGAGGGAGGGAGGAGTGATGTATGTGAGGCGATATTAGTTAAGGAAGAAACATTATCTTAATATTAGGATATAAGAACGTGTTGTATATGTGAGTGAGTGAGTGGGTGATATCATCACACCACAAAACACAAGTTCATCGAACTTAAATGGCAAGTGCAAAACACACGAATTGCTGATTTGGATTTTTCCAACTTTTGCTCATATTTGTTATCTTAGTCCAACTTAACTCTCATTTATTTTTTTAAGGAGTCACCGAGTCAGTTTGGATGATGGAACCGGACTCAATTGGCTGAAAAAAAATGAAGTAATTGGGTCAAATAGTCTCGGTTGGAAACCCAAAATGGTGATGTATCGATTGGACCGCAGCAATTTGAATAGTCAAATTTGAATGATGTATCAATTGCAAGATAAGATAATTTTAAAGTAATTAATGCATATTGCCTCATTTGATAATTCCATCATCCAAATAAACTCAAGTACCGTTTGAACCTATTAGGTTATTTTAGGCATCATGTGATACCACTGCTGAAGATGAATAAGAAGACACATAATAGGATGGATAGGAATGGACAATGTCTTCATCACCAACTTGCTTTCATGAGTCTGCTTGAGTACAAAGGAAATGGATATGATTAAAAGGTTTGGAAAAGGGTATTATCCAATCATATGCTAAGTGCTTTTAAATTGTGCACCCTTTTGTTTGTTTGTTTTTTTTTTTTTTTTTGGCAAAATTTGGGGAGAAGGACAAATCGACTAACTATAGCTTTTGGAATATGAATATCTCATCTCTCTCATATCCTCATATCATTTCCAAAACCCCATTTACAGTGACATTTAGGTCAAAGATAGTGTGCTCTTCTTCACTTAAGAATGCTACCATATGAGGAAAGTAGAGGTTGCACAATGGAGGATTTTAATTGTTATATGTCATTCTGAATAGATCATGAAATGAATTGATAATTGATTGATACAAGATCGTTGAATTAAAAAAAAAATGGAATCATCTAGATTATAAATCACATTAATTATACAAACTCATGAAAATTTTGAATTAAATGATTCGCATCAATAGTTAACTCTCTTCATCGCATAATAGGAGTGGTGTATTCTTCATGCTTGTCACCTCCGTGGAATGTCGGCCGAATGAATCCGATTCAATTAATGTTGATCATGAAACTAGCGTGAATAGCATCGGTATGGTCAACATAATAAATTTTTGCCCTAAAAACAAAATGAAGTCGTTTTAGTGAATTTAATTATTGAAAAATTAATTTGTAACTTATTTCATAAATTTAAAAGTTCAACGTTGATGTCAGTTGTTGGATTCCAGTATAAAAGTTTGAGTGTTGACGTAAAATGTTGTATTTAAATATGAGTATTTTTATTTTGTTTGGAATGCTATATATATAACTTCAATCGTACCTTGGGTAAAATCAAGGGTACGACATAACCTAAGTAAGAAAATGCTATATAGACATCGAATTAACCAGATTTTTGGGAATGATACTATACCATAACCCTTGATGGGTGAACCCTAGGACTTAGTTTTCTAAATCATAGAGGCTAACTCCTTAGATTGTGCATGTAATTTGTTGCATATATTTCAATGAATCATGACCGTCTGTGTTTTGCTGCTCGGTTGGGCCCTGTTGCCTCTGGTGGAGTTTTGTTTGTTCCTGGTTTGTTTTCGTTGGGTTTGGGGTGTTGTTATTAGCCTACTGTTTGGCTTTGGTGTTCCCCTTTGCCTTTTCTTTCTTTCTTTCTTCTTTTGCTTCTCGCTGCGGATCCTCTTCCTCTCTTGGATCCGCAGCGGTTAACTCTTGTTTGTTTTCCTTAATGTATTTCACCTTTATCAAAAAAAAAAAAAAATTAATCTTCGTGTATGAGATTTATAGAACTAAGACATAGATTTTAATCTTTAAGGGTTTGAGAATAGTACCAGATGCCAAACTCCGGTCAATTCAAGGTCTAGATATCATTTTCTTACTCAAGGTACGACATACCCTGTGTGTGTTTAAATTCATACGATGTTAATGATTTTTCATATTATTACATATCTTACTAACTAACATGAACCGACACAAACCGAATGTACCATCGATCGAAACATACCACTCACTAAACCGCCACAACAATATAAACCGATTTGACAACGTTGATATTCTTATCTACTTTTTTTTTCTTTTCTTTGTTAGTTTGCAGAGTGTGTACACAAAAAGAAGGAAAAAGGCTGCAAAAGATGGGAAAGCAGCTGTCCAAAGAAATGGATAATGTTGTTCGATAATATGAGAACTTGGGTAGTAGATTACTGCTCTCACTCCAATACATTGGAATCATATATCAGGGGAATTTTTTTAATGAGTATAGTTATTTGACACATCTATATCGTTAATAAGAGGCGTTAATGGAAAATATTGATTTTGGGTACATATTATATAATTTAGTTCGAAACTATAATTTAATTCTTAAATTCTAATCACTGTTATCTGCTTAATATGATTGATATAATGTTAACCTCCAACTAATTCATGCATTTTTAGCCACAAATATGTCATTGTAATGGTCATTAGATGAATATTGTACCGAGTAAGTTTTAGATTTATTTATGATAAGAGCAAGTCATGAAAAAAATGTTTGCCCCTGAATTCACAGTTTTCTTGTCCTTTGGGATGAAATTAAATATTGAGATCATCTTGACACAAATTAGATAATCAAATTATGATTACGAGAATGAGTATATTTGTATACGCGCAAAATTCATAGTGTACTGTAAATACAGACTAATTAATGATTTCCATCCGTTTAGTAAAATAAGATAGAAAAAGCAAACTATCTATGAGGACTTAATGCTAGGGGTGGGCATTGGGTGGGTTGGGTGGATTTTGACAATAAAATGCACCCACCCGCGCTTAAACGGATTGATAATTTTTAACCCACCACCCACCCACATTTAGTCTTGGGTTGGGTCGGGCGGATGGTGGATGATGCGGGTGGGTTTGTGGGTTCACCCACATCACAATGTATATAATATAAAGGAGTCAACTTGACATGATAATAGGTGAAGAGAGTTATCGGGGGAAACAAGAAGATGAAATAGGGCGAAAAATGTCGAATTAGTTCTTAAATTGGATAGAAATTTTATTATGAAAGAGTTTTCTACAGATTGAGATGATTATCAGGTGCAAGGAACTAAGGAAAATAATTATACAAAGGAAAGAGCGGTGATCTAGGCACAAGAATTAGAGGAAAAAATAAAGGGAAGAAGAGGGGATCGATATTTGGAAGGTTGGCTTTGAGGTTCAAACTCCAGGAGCAGTCCTAGTTTATGTCTAACGTCTCCACTCTCCCCTCTCTAGCGCCAACGACTTTGATCTTTTTTGTTGTTGGGTTGAGCGGGTCACCCGCGCACCCACCCACAACCCATCCACCACCCGGCGGATGGCTCCCAGCGCAATCCGTCACCCACCCACAGACCCACCCACTTAAAGAAATTCGGGTCAAATGCGGGTGAGTCGGCCCAAACCCGCGGATGATCCGCCCGCATGCCCAACCCTACTTAATGCTAAACTCTTTCAAATTAGGACTTTCCCTATGGAGAAAAGAGTCTTCAACCTATTAAAATGTTGAAGTGACTTAACAATTGTTTTTTTTTTATCATCATGAAAAAGAAAACAGGCAAGGATTTCGATAGCGATGGTTGTGACTTGTGAGCTAGCAACCAAAATCTAAGTCCATGGCTTTAAGTGACCCATTTTTCCAGTTTCTTTCCCACATTTTCACTTTGGTGGAAATATGACCCAACAAATCGATTGAAAACGACTCTTAAAATCTCCCTCTCCTCCCATAGATAGTTTGTCTAAATTGTTTAAATTATTTTGTTTATACTAGTGCCAACTCTTCCAAAACTGAAAATAAAAAAAAGGTTTATTAGATTTAGTTATGATTAGGATGACTTTGTCAAACTCACACTTGATCCAAAACAAATCGATTACTCGATCCAATTCCAACCCGCATTATCTGAAACCACCAAAGTCTTTTCTTGTTACCCCTACATTATAGGAATCAAAGCGTCTAGGTGGCTTGTTTTGCTACTAGTTCAGGTTAGCTCATAGTTATAACACACTAACATAATAGTCTATCACTTAGATAAAAAAAAATTATTTGACAAACATAAAAAAGAGTGATTAATTTTCCTGATTCTAGCAATAACCTCATAAACTTAAAATTCAGTCGTCATAGATGTGTTAGTGATCTGAAATTTAATGGTCATTTAGGTAATTAGTACTCTCGTCAAGTCACATTCTTTGGAATTTAAGATGCTAGCTAGTGGCCAATTTGGCAGTTGGACTTTTTTAGTTATGTGTTTATAGCTTGTAGGCATTGGCACAAAGAAAATCACATGTGTTTTTTTCCTTCTCCCTTCCATATATATAAACTAATGCAATAAGATTATGCTTTTGGGAGATAGTAGTATGACAATCTTAGTGGGGTCCTTAAAAAAATTGGCTTAATTCCTTTTTATCTCCATGCAATCTTGAAGGTGCATGAATTGTATCCTTGTGGGATCTAAGCGATATTGATGTTTAATTAAGAAAAAAAGGGTTACCAAATTAATGCTTCATTTGCAAGGGCGACTCATGATTGTGGTTGATGTGTAATGTGGACTAGCAATCTAGCATTAAGTTAAAAATCTTACAAAATTCATAGAGAGTATGCTGCTTTTTTTTTATATATGGAGTGGAGTCCGAAACGGTTGATTTGTACGATCATTCACTTAGAGTAATAGATAGACTAACTATATAAATATTCTCAACACATGTATAGACTAATAAGTCCCGATATAATTACGTAGAAAGATTTTTATCAAATTTGTCATGTGCTTCTTCTTGTATTTACATTCTCTTCCATTCCGACATATACAATTTGATATTTTGAGCAATTTATATATATTTTTTTATGTAAATTTTACGGATTAAAGAAAGCAACTTGCCATACACAATCCTCATCAGTTCATTCTCTATTGTGTTCTTGAGTTCTGTATCCACATCTCAATCATCGTCTTGCAGTCTGTGTTACAAAGTCAAAAGGGAATTCCAATGATTCGCAAATCAAGAGAAATGTGAAAGGCTCACTTCACTCATATGACTAACGAGTAGAGAGCTTCCACCACCAACCCACTGCATAACTGTCCAATGATGACCAGAAAGTTTCCGCCTGTTGGATGATGGATAGGATAATCTTGGAGCCTCTTATTTCCACGCATGGCAAACCAGCAATGAACAGAAAACGAAAGCAAAAGGAATTAAAATTCATTACAACTTGTTCCATCACAAAAAGAACTTCCCTTTCTCTCTGTCTATTCTAATCTCTATGCATCCAAACACTAACAAAGTTCCAACCAATACCAACTACCAAACAATGTTTCTGGGTTGGGGGAATGGCTTGTATTTCAGCAGCATACACTTCAGAAAACTGTCAGTAGTCAACGATGTATCTAATGGCACAAAACTGGGTTTTTTTTTTCTTCTTCTGGCCAATGAAAAGCTTGTGCAAGAATGTGTATATGAGAAGACCCAGAAGACTTAAAGAATCTGTGCATTACTTTATCTACTAGTTCTGATCAAAGTCAAAGGCCAATTCATATATCTGGCTGTAATGGTCCGCAAAGTGGACATCAAGCCCTTCCTTAACCTGAGGCGAAAGCTCGTCAAAGTCCCTCCTGTTAGCTGACGGGAATATGATTGTCTTCACACCACTCCTTCTAGCTGCAATCGTCTTCTCCTTCACCTAAATCATCACAAGGTGATTAAAAACTGGGGAAAAGTAGCATGCCGCAGCTAGCAATGGAGAAAAAAAGTATGGTGCTTTTAGGCTTTTGCAGTGACATACCCCACCAATAGGAAGGACTTTTCCAGTCAATGTGACTTCTCCAGTCATCGCGAGATCTTTCCGCACGGGCTTCTCCATTGCCACAGAGAGCAGGGATGTGATCATGGTACACCCGGCGCTGGGTCCATCCTTTGGGGTGGCACCAGCTGGCACGTGAAGGTGGAGTTTCGTGTTGGCAAAGAATTGGTTGTCTGGTTCTTTCTCGAGCAGTGCTGCTCTCGCATATGTGTGTGCGATCTGGGCGCTCTCTTTCATGACGTCTCCCAGTTGGCCGGTGAGCTGAAGGGCTCCTTTGCCTTCTCCTTGCTCGACGAGAGTGGTCTCTATGTACAATGTGGACCCTCCCATTGCGGTCCAGGCAAGACCCATGACTACGCCAGATGGAGTCTGGTCGTAGATTCGCTCGGCGTGGAAAACAGGCTTCCCAACATAATCCGTCAGGTTTGATTTGTCCACCAAGACCTTCTCAACTGTTGAAGTCGATTCGCTTTCCTCCTGTTTCTCAGTTTCCAACGAGTCCTATTGCAGTAAATGCTCGGTCAGAGGGGTGGAGAGTTGATATGTTCGTAGCAAGTTTACTTGTATGTACTTAAAAGAGAAGATACACATTTCATAGTTTTCACACTTCCTCACATAGTGATAGTACAAGATTTACGTATCAAGAAACGGAAGTAACACACCATAGAATTTACCTTTAAATCTGTAGATTGATCTGTGGGATTAGAATCTTGATTGGACGAGCTCTCAGCCTGCACAATGTCTGCTTCAAGAATTGTCACCTCAGTTTGTCCTTCGACATTTGCTTCAACAGATTCCGAAGATATATTCCCAGCATCATCGGCTTTTTCTTCAGTTGCTTCTCCATCCTGAATAATCTGAACTCCCGAAACTGGAGCTTCACCTTGGACTCCTTTTCGTACAAGTTGCAAGGCAATCTGTCCAACAAAGAGTAGTCATAACTTGATAAGGAAGAAAATAAATTGCAGTTTGATCACAAACAAGGTTTTAGTCCAGACAAAGGGTAAGAACTCAGACCTTTCGGTAGATCTTCTCGATTTGCTTCTGAAGATTCCTGACCCCAGCTTCTCGGCAGTAGCTCTCAATAAGGGTAAGAAGAGCAGCATCAGTCATTTCAACCTGGATTTACATATTAAAAATAATTCAACATTTTCATTAAGCTTTTGCGGTAACAAAAAATGTGTCAAAAGGGTTAAAGAAAGTGACCTGTTCAGGCTTGATGCCACATGCATCACGTGTGGACTTCTCCAAGTAATCTCTGGCAATATGCATCTTTTCGTCGGTGATATAACCAGCTATAGCGATGACCTCCATTCTGTCCAAAAGAGGAGTTGGTATCGTATCGACAACATTTGCAGTGCACACAAATAGAACCTGCAAGACCACCACAATTAGTACGAAGATTGGAATATCCTGAATCCAAGCATAAGCTGATGTTCTATATGGCTAAAGCACGTCGATTCCTAGATTTGAGAATGTTGAAACACATCGTTTCCTAGAATTCAAACTTGACATTAAAAAAAAAAACATACCGACCTTTGAAAGGTCAATTGGAACATCCAAATAGTGATCGAGAAAGTTGGCATTTTGCTCCGGATCAAGAAGCTCCAACATAGCACTTGCTGGATCACCAGAATGGCCCCTCCCCAGCTGCCATACCAAACAGAAAATACCTTTTCAGAACTAAAAGGCTTTTTATGTATCTCAAGTTCTAATCATGATAAGCGAAGAATCTTAAGGATAAAGATGAGAAATGGGAAAATAATTCCCATTTTCTGATAAAACTGGTATTACCTTGTCAATCTCGTCAATCAGGACAAGAGGGTTAGCAGTTCCAACATTCTTCAGGCATTGCACCATTTTTCCTGGCATTGCACCAATATAGGTCCGGCGATGGCCCTAGGTGTGAAATTGACTCAGTCAGACAAGACATCGAAGAAACCATTCACAGGTATTGCAAGAATTGTGTCTTAACAAGTCCTATTAACCGTACCTTAATCTCGGCAACATCAGATAAGCCACCAACTGAAAACCGGAAGAATTTGCGGTTCAAGGCCCGTGCAATTGACTTGCCAATGCTGGTTTTACCCACCCCAGGTGGGCCAGAGAGACAAATGATTTTCCCTATAAAGCATTTAGCAATAAACCGGAAATCATATGACTGATGATATGAAATGGATAGACATTTGGAAATGTATGAAACAACCATGAGATCTATACCTTGTGCAGTTCCTCGTAGCTTCCCAACAGCTATAAATTCCAATATCCTTTCCTTGACATCAGATAAACCATAATGGTCCTCATCGAGAATTTGTTGTGCATGGAGGACATCAAAGTTCTCATCACTTTACATGAAGAAGAAAAAAAACGTATTCTGAGAATCTGAGTCTAAGTAAACCAAGCAAAATATTCTGCTGAACTTTGTGAATTTCAGCTAAACAGATGTTTATTTATCTTTAAATTTGTTTGACCAAGTGGGTAGACTTAAAGCCAACCTGTAATTTCCCCAAGGCAACGCAGTCAACCAATCCAAGTAATTTCGAGTGACATTGAATTCACTCGAACTCGCCTCTAGAAGCTGTAGTTTTGTTAGCTCTTCTTGTATCACTTGCAAAACAGGAGCCGGTATGTGTTCTTTGTTTTCTTCAATCCTTTCCCTAAACTTTGCTGTAGAAACAAAATAAATGAGTGACCATTTCACACTATTTTTAACAGAAATCAAAATCAAGACTTAATTGGCTTTCTTGCATACTCGCACACAAACTCACCAGAAAGAGCAGTCTTGTCATCTGTCTCTAGCCCCAATTCCTACATGACAGAAAGAGCTCCAATTTACAACAAAAACCCCGAGTTAAACAACCAGAAATGAAGCAGGAAAAATAAAGGGGGAAAACTACCTTCTTTATGGCCTTAAGCTGCTCATTCAATAAGTAACGCCTCTGCTCAGTGCTAATCTTTTCTTCAATCGCCCTCGCAATCGATTCCTGGATTTGGGATAAAAAATTTACCAAGTGGGAACTGAATCATTGACAGTAAACTTCAACACCTACCCCAAACAGTGAGTCTATTGTCGAATACCTGGATTTTGGTTATCTCCATTTCTTTCTTCACCAACTCAAGGGTAAGCCTCAGCCTATTATGCACCTGAAACAAGAACATAGAAAGAAATATGTGAGAAAATAGGCATCAGAACTCTTCACGCAATGAAGTAATCCACAGTTTGAATGCCACTTACATCTAACTCCTCAAGCACTTCCTGGCACTGCAACTTGTTTGCTCCAGAGATTGCAGCCCCAAAATCAGCTAACCTTGAATAATTAAAGTCACCTATATGCTGTAGATATTACAAAGTTAGAAATACTAACTCCCAACATAACAACAGTAAACAAAATTCAATCTTAGTGATCAACTGGAAAGTGAGGATGTCAAGTGATCTTTGGTGAGCCTATGAAGAACACTAAAGAAACAATCCGAACCTGAGTGTAAGTCTGGACATGATCTCTCCATAGGGAACTCGATTTTAGAACATCTCTAAGGGTTGATATAACTTCAAATGATGTCGCCTTAACAACATCGTCATCCTTGTTATAAGGTTTGTCCTATACAATCAAGAGGGGTAAGCCACATAACCTAAAGAATCTGGTATATTTGCAGAGACTAGAACATTGAGATCTTGGATATCAAGAATATGAGTTCAGAGATTGAGATAGCGTACTTTGATATGATCAACCTTCACAGTAAGTGGTTCTTCGCTGACCTGTACAGAATCCCAAATAGTTTCAGCTTAGAGGTAAAGAATACACTGGCATGATACCAAGTCTGAAAGATAAAAAGGGAAAAGTTTCATCTGTACTCAACCATCTCTGTTATCCGAAGTCGCCTGTGACCAATAAGAACAACCTGCTCTCCCTGAATAGTTGAAATCTGGCCAGCCACATTTTGGAGGAAATCGAATCAACATTACCATTCTTTTTTCAAAGAAAAAGCACTTACTATGCCAACTGTATCAGACAGCGAGGTTAAATAAAGTTTAGGAACCTGGGCTAGTGTTCCAACTTCATGAAGACGATTATAAAGATCTTTCCCTTTGAGACTGTCCGGGCTCTTCTCCGACTCTGAACCAGATACCACATTGGGATCAGAGCCCGGCTCCTCTTTGAGGAGAAAAGCACCAGCATATGGGGCTTGTCTTTTCCGTGCTTCTTGTAATGCAGCCATCAGTTTGGGATCCTAAATGCGAAGCAAGTTATTGCATCACTCCACTGTAATGAAACATAATATGATTGTGACAGCTAGAGTGAGCATAAAACCCCAGGTTTGGTAGAATAAATAATACCTTAACATTAATAGGCATATAGAAACCAGGGAACAAAGGTCTATGAGGCAATGGAAGTGCCAATACCTGCAAAGCACAAGCAAAATGTGTTATCAATTATGCGAACCAAGCAAGATGTTCATCTAGATCAGTGGAACTTCTAATCTACCCTAACATAAACTATAAGTTCTTCTGCCTATTCTACCATGTTTTCGGGTAACAAAAGCTCTACACCGAACCATCTAGAGGCTCCTATGCTTTGTGAAGACAAAACTCACACTTCGCAAGCCATTACCATGTCCATAGCAATCTAAGTAAATACACATATAAACGAAAATAAAGCAAAAAAAAAAAAATAATAAACCATCTTCAAAGCTTCAATCTCTTTCAGACAACCAACCGTTAGATAGTCCTCGGGTCTCGGATTAGTAGGGACAATGGCGGAGGAGCTATTGCTGGAATCTCCGGCGTCGGCATCGCTGTCGTCCCCCTTTAGTGCAACCTCAACCAGCACCCCGCGGCCGGTTCCGTCGCCGCCCGAGGAGGAAGAATCCGAGCAGAAGAAAGCCCTGCGGAAGAAATTGGGATGCCTGCTGGAGCTTCCCCTGCTCAATTCAGCAATCGAATTGAGTGCTCTGAGCAAAGGGCTCGACGACCCAGAAGCTCCGCCGGAGCTGGGAGCAGGAGTAGCTCGGAGGCATGGGGAAGCGATGTGGGCGTGGAGATTGCGGGAAGAAGAGAGAAGCTTCAACATTTCGGGTTCTTTTAGGGCGGGGGAATGTTTTGTGAGAGAAAGTTGAGATTCGGGAGTTGGGAATGTTCAGAGGATTGTGAGAAGACTGAAGAGGGAGGTGGGAAGAAGGGCGCTGAAAATGAATGGTGTTGATGGTATGTTAAGCCCTTCATAAACCCTATTGCTTGTTTGCACTTTGCACCTTTGCAGCTCTGCTCATTAGTCATTACTCATGGTTTGGATGAAAATTTGGCTTCGGTTTTTACTATACCGAATTTACAAAGGTGTAAACTGTAAAGGTGCAAGGTGCAAACAAGCAATAGGGTTTATGAAGGGCTTAACATATCATTAAACGGTAAACCGTTTATCAGGTATCGGCGGCCGAAAGTCAAATGGGAAAGCTCTGTTTACCGGTCCTAATATCGATAAATACCGATGGTAATTCGGCAATACCGATACCGGACCAGTTAAGGCATTAACATATAACATATACTTCATTATTCACAAATATTACATACATGAATGGAAGTAAGTAAGTATAGGTCTCAAAATATTATAAATAAGAGTTAATAATAAATTATTAATTACAAAAATGAAAAAAAAAACTCAGAAAAATCAAAATATTACAACATCACCCCACTGCCTATAAATTCGGTTCGGTAATTTTTCGGTAAACCCAACCGAAAAACTGTCCGTAACTACTCCTTACGGTAAGTCGGTAAACCGGTTTGTAATCGTTTATCGATAATTCGGTAATTGGTAAACCGGTTACAAACCGGTATCGGTAATCGATTCCTACTTACCCACACTCGGAATACCGAAAACCGGTAAAGTCGGTAACTAGTTTACCGGTTATCGACCGAATACCACCACTAGTCTTGCCCATCTGCTCCGAACGTTGTTTAAGATCTAGTGTATACAATTAGCGCTGAAAGTTTAGTAATGGTATTTGAGATATACCGAATTCGTACCGCATTTGTTAATATTTGATATTTTCGAAGTTTATTATTTCGCGGTATTGAGATTAGGATCGGGACTGAATTTTAAGTGTTATTTGGTTTTAGAAATTACGGGATTGAGATCGATATACACCTCAATACTGATCAATACTGAAATATAAGCTAGTGTGTAGTAGTTGATCCCTCCCAAGTCCCAACTAGACTCACTTACTCCCTTAATTATGTGTACTTCTTTCCCTCACTATTTGACAACTAATATCAACCTCTCATTTTGTTACTTGTAGTATGTTTATGGGTTGTGTAGTCATCTCCGTTTCAGTTTGTTGCTTTAATTTGTTAATGTGTTTCTTAGCCTCCACATTTTTCTAATTTGTTGTTATTATACTTGAGAATTTTTCTTATTTCTTTCGAACGATTGTTGGCGCCGTTGTCTGTTTTTATATATTTTGAAAATGATTTCTGTAGCTACTTCAAAAGGATTAGTATTTGTGTTTGCATATTTGATTTATAATTTTGAAGCCAATAAATTTGGTATTTGGTATATACCGATACCGGAAAAAATATTAGAGATTGAGATTGTGATATCAAATTTATTTTGGGATTGTGATTGGAATTAAGTTTATGGCACTATTTGGTATTCAAGAATTCGGTATTTGGTATTGGAATACTGATACCGAACCAATTTCCACCCCTGCATGACTTTGGAATTGAACCCTAAAGTGTAGGAAATATGGGGTAATTAGTACAAACGGTCACAATTCTTTGCACTTTGTACAAAACAGTCACACACTTTGAATTTTGTACGATTTGGTAACAAATGTTTGAGCATATAACAAAAATGATTATTTTGTTCTTCTCCATCAAAAACTTTGTTACTTTGGTACAATCAGCCCTCCACATCACAAAATTATTAATAAAAAATACACTTAATGTAGCGATGCAACTCACTCAACTGACACTATGATTTTGAAACATGTAACACAATGGTCACTAACTTTTTAGTTCATAAAACAAATGGTTAGACAACAATTCACTTCAAAATAGATGGTCATAATGCATTTAATTGTGTAACAAAATGGACAATGGTATTCGTTTGGTAACAAATCCAATGCATAATGCAAGGAAGGGTTGTGGGGTGTTTAAACTCGACCCTTAAATTGCCGTCCAAAAGACAAAATGGCAACCTAAGTGCCCTGTGGGCCACTATTCTGGTTTCTGGGTAGGTGGGGTGATCCGGTTTGGTTCATTGGCACTTGGTGGAGCTGTACCGGGTACCATTGAAGTCCTTAAATTGTGCATCCATCCAATTTTCCATTACTTTAACTAACAGTTCAAATAAAAAATTATTTTTTAATTATTGACTAATGGTTAGAGAACTACTGACCAAACCATCCAAATCCAACTGACCCACACCTCAAACCACTTTCACGTCATCGACTTCATCTACTCTGCTATCAACAACATCCCTTAAACCCCTCCAATCTCACGCCTCCACCACTTAGGGGTCGTTTGCTTCATGGATTTAAAAATGAGGGTTTTGTAATTTAAAAATCCAAGGATTTATCAAGGATTTGAGGCATCATGGATTTGTAACAATCCTTTGTTTGTTGGGATGTTTTTATCATGGATTTAAAGGTGTGGGATTTACTACTTGAAGTCAAAAATTACATTACTGCCCTTTTCTATACGTTTGACATGTTTATGATATGTACACAAAACAAGGACAAAACTTCAAAATTACCCTTACTATCATTTTCTATATGTTGCCACATGGACAATAATAATAAACGAGAAAATTCCGTTTTAACTTTTAACGTAACATAATCAATTACCAATTCTTTGTCCTCCTTTTCAAAAGTGACATATAACAACATATATTAGAATCGGGAGAACAAAGAATTACACGTTCCATGAAAAGGTCAAAGAAAACTAGAACACAAGAAATGATATAAAAAATCTAACTCATGTTTGCACATTAATTGAACCTTTATATTATTTATTTATTGTTAATTATAATGTATAATAGTTAAATTTGAGGGTAACCTTGGAATATTAAAAGTGCATGAGGGTATATGGGTAAAATCTCATCAAGGATTTATGCCATATTCCAAATCCCACATCAACATGTGGGATTTATAAGTCCGTGGGGTCCACGGATTTGGACCCTTAAAATCCATGGGGCCCACGGATTTGGTCTCCAAAAAAGGTGCAAGCAAACAATGGATTGTACCTAAATCCTTGATAGTTGGTTTTTTGGTACCAAATCCATGTACCAAATCCTTGAAGCAAACGACCCCTTAATCCCACCTCCTCCACCTCCCTTCCTCTTCACCCACTCTCTCTCCCTCTCTCTCCCCCATTTTGAACACCACTATTGAAAGACATGATTTTGGGCCTAAATCTTGTTTCGCAGAAAAACGAGGCAAGGGGACTTCTGTAATAATATTTTAGCTTCTTCACATCTATGGATATTTGCATTTCAGCCTTCATGCGGGGACATGCACAGATTTTAAGGAATTTATACGTGGACTCTGTATTCTTTTGTTCTATTCTCGTGTTATTTGGTTTACCCAAACGCCTCTTTCTGTCGATTCATTGTTCCATCTTATTATGAGTTTTCTTCTGCTTCTGTTAATCGGTGCATTATTGATTTTGTTGGTGATGTGTTTCCCATAAAGTTCAGCTTCTTTTTATATTTCTTATCCCTTTTATAACTGGGTTTTGTGGTCCGCGAGTAGACTGATCAACGGCGAGGAAGCTGAAGCAATTGCTCCACTCGAGTCATCCATTCTTGCTATTCACCATACACAACCCCAATTGCCCAAACAACCTAATGCTCTGATATCACTTTGAGAAACTGGGCATCAACCACAAGCAAGAATCAAATGCACAAGACACACCATTTTTACGTGGAAAACCCAAATCGGGAAAAACCACGGTATATTTGTCCAAGCCACAACTCCACTAGACACTACCACTATGTTCATGAAGGAAGGGAGGAAAAGGAGGGGAGGGTAGGAAAATTTGGAGGGGAGGTTAAGTTTGGAAGGGAGGGAAATTAGAGGGAATTAGAAAGAAAATGTTGTTTAATGGAGGAAAGTGGAAGGGAAAGTGGGAGGGAAAAAGTAGATTGGGAATTGTGATATGTATTATATTTTATTGATGATAGAATAGTTAAATAATTTAATTATGTGTTTATACTATTTACATTAATTATGTAATGTGGATCAAATTTGTTCTTCTTTGTTAATTTTGTTAACTATAACAAATCAAAAGTTGGTTATTTGAATGAAATTTGTCAACCTCTTACTAAAATTTTGTTAACTATTTTATTGAGTAATAACATAGCAACTAAATATATAAACATACAACAAATTACAGATACATAAATTGTAAGAGGAGCGTAACAAGTTTTTATATCTCATACAACAGTGTTATGTATCGTGCAAAACAACGTTACGTATGAGGTAAATCATCTATCTTGTTTGGTAGGATATTTTTGTGCCGAAATCCAAGTTACACAGATTTTATGCTTTGGAAATTAGAAGCTTACACTTTTACGCTTCTAGATTATAAAAATGATTCTACGTAGAATCGTGCTTTTCATTTACAAGCGTAGCCAAAATAATTCTTTACAACTTAAAAGCTTACGATTTTACGCTTTTGGGTCACCCAAACGCTTCTACGTAGAATTGTGTTTTTGACTGTATTGAATGGTTCTATATGGTTCATGTCATTATCTTAATTATAAGGATTAATACCGATTATTACAAATATTACTTATTCCTATCTATATCTATAACCCACGTCATCTTCTTTTCATTTTAGTTTTGAGTTTGTTGGACCAAAGTAACAAAAATAAATACGAAAGAAAAGTCTAAAATAAATACGTACAAGTAATTAGTCCAAACAAATAACACATAAATTAAAATAATTACACAAGCGAATTGCAAGACATGACTAACGTTTGTGTAGTTGCACTAAAACCCTCCACTTTAAAAAAGGAAACCATCAAGTATTAAAGTAGCTGAAAGAAAAAGAAAAAAAGGTAAAATTGCACAACACAACTTTCCCTCCGATTTGGAGGGTAGCTTGGTACAGTGTTTTTTCTTTTCCTTTTCTTTCCTTGGTTACTGTTCCAGGTCTACAAAAACAGGGGAAAGCATCTGGG